AAGAATTCTCCAGGTGTGCAGCCTTAACGCGTTAGTTCTCTCTTTGAAAACATGGAAGCATGTTAGGCGTATTATAACACTGATTATTAAAATTTAACTTAGTAACCTTTACAGTATGATTAAGTCACTAGAAGAAGCTCAGGTTTCTGGTTGACAACACAAGATTTTCCCCTTTTTTGTTCTGGGAGAGCTTTTGAGAGTGCATGATTATTACCTTGTTTAGTCTGAGGTTGGTTTGTTTCGTGCAGCCCCTATAGCGCAACAATTCTCCTGTCAAATCCCCAGCAAGGAAAGCTGACTGTAAAGGCAAATCTTATTTTTGAAGAATACAGTAAAGCCGCTATCCTGATATTTCTGGTTTCTGGCACTTGACAATAGTCTGGCATAAATTCCTGGGTTATTATTTTAAATTTGTTGTTTTATTCACGCAGTTGGCATTGATATCTACCAAAAACTTATATTTATGAAGGACAATTTAAGTGTGAATAACAAACGGGGAAAGAAACCACCCTCTTTTCCCCCACCTGAGGAAGTATGTATCATCGAAGATGATGCTATACGTCAGTCTCCAACCAAAGAGCTTCTGAACTCGACCAAATCCAAGAGGGTAAATGATTCCATGTGAGTGTTTCTTCACTGATATTTGCATTTCATTTCTGATTATTAAAATTGCTTTTCAGGGGTCCGACAATTTGGTTTGTTTTACTTGATTATTTGGGTTTTCTATACCAGGCCCAGTTTCAACCTCCTGGATGAAGAGTCTGAAGAAGGTAGAGCTTAATTGATAGAAATGATGATGCTAAGTATTTTACTTTCTTTTTTCAATCCTTTTCCCCTACTCGCCAACAAATTTTACCTAAAATCTTTGTAGACGAGGCTGCTGCCAATGTTCACGAAGATGAGATTGCTGCCAAGGCTGAAGACGGTGAATGCAAAATCATTACACAACAAACAGTATTTGACCACATACGTGAGAAAGCGAAGAACTTCCCTGTCTTGGCGGCATCAAATGTTGTGTGCTCTCCATCCTCAGAGCCCTTAGTTTTGACAAGAAAACGTGCTCGTGAGAAGCAGCTTGAACCCTATAACGAAGTTCAGGTTTTGGAAGAGTTGGAATGGAATAAAATTCCAAGATGGGCGGTGGTGAATCCATCTTCAGAATTGAAAGAGAAGGAACAAAATCAACATAGCCTTATGGATGAGAGAGGTGACAAGACACAAACACACTCGCAATCACTTTTTTGGTTCTTATGTATGTTATGTGGAGTTTTTAATCATTATGCTTTTTGTTTTTCTCTACTGAAGCTGGGCTTCCTCTTGAACCTGGAGATGGCGCATTCAAAACTTCAAGAGAAGAAACAATATTTGAGCACATACAAACAAAAGCCAAGAATTTTCCGGTGATCAACAAATCGAAGGTGGTGGTGTCCGGGTCCTTAACCAAAACAAAAGAACAACCCTCTAAGAATCATCCTGTGTTGAGCATGGATCCTTCTGGCGTGCAAAAAGGAACAAACTCAAATGAAGTATTGAGAAACACTGCACTCATCTCAGATTTGGAAACCAAAGAGGTGGAAAAAGATGAATGCGGGATATCGAATGCTTCTCCTAGAGGTTTAGGCAACGCTGCTCATCTATCATCTCGTAAAATGCTATCGTTTGATATCTCCATGTTGAAGAATACCAGGCCATCAGCAGATCCAGGCAGCTCCATGGAGAGCAGAAGAAGGAAACAGCAGCCGTCTCCAATTGTACCACAAAGACAGTGCTGCACATTGACAACAGTTGCCAAAACCAGGGAAGTAGAAACATTTCTCGGATTTCAGAGTGTCTTTTCTTTTCTCTGATGTTTCTTCCGATACACAAAAATGAGACGATAGATATATCAGTATAGAGGAAACTTACTTTTTCAGATTATAACTTCATGCGGGTAGCAACGTATATGACCCACAAATTGAAACTTGGGATCAGTGGGATGGATATATACTTACTGGTTGGCTTCTCAATTACTGTCCAGAAAAGTGCTTTACGAGGTATGAATGATTAATTTTGAATGAAAAGTGAGGTTTAAGGACGTCATAAACCCAGCTGGTTTGCCGCTTTCCTATTTCTAGTTCATTTAAGAAAGAAACGTAGCAGCTTGCCGTGGAATGATTTTCTAGATGTTTTGTTTGTTAATATACTCCAACACAAATAGTACTTGTTCATGAATCATTGGTTTCCCTCTCGCAGTCACAGGTCATAAATATATTCCTTTTTGTTATAGTATTCTTCAATCTTTAATTTTTCGAAAAAAAATTATAGTATACTGACTCTAGTACATGTATTTACTATTTGCCGAGTAGCGTATTTGGAAACTGATCCAAGATTGTCGAAAACTTTTATCTTGGCTGGTCAATTGTTTGAATTTTGGGGGTTTTTTTTAGAGCCTTTCATATTGAGCGGGCGATAACATACTAAGCTCTTACACATTAGACGAATGCTATGACTTGAATTTTGACCCTTTTGTTATTATTACTAATACTTTTTCGACAGTCCTTTTTCTTAAAGAAGGAAAGCAAAGGCCAACGGTGGAAGTCCATTTCCGAGAAGGCTTCAATGTTCCTAGGCACTGGCAAAATGATATATTGAGGCAGTGACATCCTAATATGATAAATTTACTCTAAAGTTATCCAAAGTTTCATTATTCAAAGGTTTTTTTCGGTGTCAGTCTCATTCCCTATAAATAGTTTTTATTTGTAATGCATGCGCTAAATAAGGTTGTGGAGGGAGCATAATGTCATTGCGCCAGTATTTCAATTCAATCACGCATTGTCACGCAAAAAGTTTAAAAAGCATCGTACACAATTGGTTTAGAATATGTGATTGGTAAAAAGCGTCATACACAATTGGTTTAGAATTCGCTATTAATTTGAAATCCCGACACAAATAGCGTAAAAAAGATAAAACAGGCCATTAACTCGTGATTGGCTTGGAATACCGACACAGTCACATCCAGTAACTCTTTACTCTCTCGATGAGGGTCACGCTATATGCACGCCCCCATTTGCAGTTATATATATGTTACATAAAATTTCTCATAAAAGCAGCTAGCACAGAGTATACCAATTAACCACTAAGCAAACCCAAGCCATCGATGTCTTCAGAAGCTTCGGAAAACGCCGAAATGTCCCGTATCCGTAGAATCGCGGAATGGATGGAATCAGATACTGAGTCTGATGATCTCCATGGCTTGCGTAGTCGTCTCATAATTCGTTTGCAGATGGAGGTAGGACGACACTACATACGGCGCCGTCTACTAGCAGACGACAACTTCAATATCAATACAAGTATTAATAATTTCAATAATATTCGTAATAATGGGCCGTTGGCGGCGGCGGCATCCAAGGCCTCCATAGACGCCATGCCAAGAGTGACCGTCACGAGCCAAGGCGCCGAGTGCAGTATCTGCTTGGAAGGCTTGGAGGTCGGCGCTGAAGCCAGAGAGATGCCCTGCAAACACAGGTTTCACTCGCTTTGTATCGAATTGTGGCTCGGCAGGCGAGGCTCCTGTCCGCTTTGCAGGTTCTCTATGCCCTAGGAAGGAACATCATTGGATTAATTGAGATTAATCCCCTTAATTAATGTCTGGTTTGAATTGGATTATCATTTGCTTTCTTAGGCTCCTTTTGGAATGAAGGAAACACTTTGTTCATGAAGGCTTTTTTAGAAGTGCTTTACTAGAAGATCGTCAAAGAAATTTCAATGTGGCTTTTTAGTTGTCCCTAAATTTAGATCGGATTTACATTTTGGTCCTCCAATTCGAAAAATGATTGTTGTAGTCCCTCAATTCTACTTACGTTAGTCCTGTCGTCATATTTGTTAAATTTTGTCAAATTTAAGTGTAAAATTATCACTTCAAATCAAACCCCCATTACCCACACCAAACATCACTCCCATTACCACTTTGTACTCAAATCTACCATTTCCACTACCACAAGAACAAACCTCAGTTGCTTTCTTTTGAATTGTTTTATTTACACCCATCAAACATCCAAGTTCACCCCACTATTTTTTCAAAACCTTAAAATCTAATTATACCTTTCATAATAAATTAAAATTTTATTATTTCAACACCAACAACCCCAAATTCGACCAACCACTTCTCATTGATAAACATAAAAATACGATTTTGTCCATTATAAAAAAAATATAAAAATATTGTTTTGTCCCTAAATTTGACATAGACTAACCCTATTGAACGAAGTGGATTTCATGAACTACAAAAACTATTTTGCAAATTCGAGAACAAGAATGCAAATCAAGTATAAATTTAAGAATTATGGCAACTAAAAAACCATTTCAATTTATTGAAAATCCAAAGAAGTTATGAAGGAAGCACTTACCAAGTGCTTCTCCTCCATAAATACCTTTTGTGACACACTTGGAAGTAATTATTAAAGAAGCACTCTCTAAAAAAACGCTTTATTAATTTTTTTTTTTCAAACGCTATCACAAATGATAATGGTGATCTTATCTTGAGATGCTTTTAACTATTTCAAAAGCTGCTCACCAATAGGCCTCAGTGGCAATATGCAAAAGTAATTCAAAAAACGACACAAAAAAAACGACGTGATGTGCTCTGCATTTGGTATTGTCATCTCAGATTTGGAAACCAAAGAGGTGGAAAAAGATGAATGCGGGATATCGAATGCTTCTCCTAGAGGTTTAGGCAACGCTGCTCATCTATCATCTAGTAAAATGCTATCGTTTGATATCTCCATGTTGAAGAATACCAGGCCATCAGCAGATCCAGGCAGCTCCATGGAGAGCAGAAGAAGGAAACAGCAGCCGTCTCCAATTGTACCACAAAGACAGTGCTGCACATTGACAACAGTTGCCAAAACCAGGGAAGTAGAAACATTTCTTGGATTTCAGAGTGTCTTTTCTTTTCTCTGATGTTTCTTCCGATACACAAAAATGAGACGATAGATATATCAGTATAGAGGAAACTTACTTTTTCAGATTATAACTTCATGCGGGTAGCAACGTATATGACCCACAAATTGAAACTTGGGATCAGTGGGATGGATATATACTTACTGGTTGGCTTCTCAATTACTGTCCAGAAAAGTGCTTTACGAGGTATGAATGATTAATTTTGAATGAAAAGTGAGGTTTAAGGACGTCATAAACCCAGCTGGTTTGCCGCTTTCCTATTTCTAGTTCATTTAAGAAAGAAACGTAGCAGCTTGCCGTGGAATGATTTTCTAGATGTTTTGTTTGTTAATATACTCCAACACAAATAGTACTTGTTCATGAATCATTGGTTTCCCTCTCGCAGTCACTGGTCATAAATATATTCCTTTTTGTTATAGTATTCTTCAATCTTTAATTTTTCGAAAAAAAATTATAGTATACTGACTCTAGTACATGTATTTACTATTTGCCGAGTAGCGTATTTGGAAACTGATCCAAGATTGTCGAAAACT